GAATTTATTGCTTTTACACTTCCATCATCCATGTATCTCTCACGTACATTCATATCTGCTCATGGCTTATCAATGTAAACAAAGACGTCACATATTATGAAATGGACAAAGTCCGACAAATATTTTAAGACATTTATATATAATGAATTTTATCGACAACGTTAGTTTTATGGTTAGGCTTAGCATTGCAAGTTTTAGCGAAAACACTGAACGATTTTCGTTCAGAATCATAAATTTAAAAAGAATATACACTACTGACAAATAATAAGATATCAGCGAATACTTTTTTGTTGTCCTTGTTCTTCCCTTATCTGATATATATTTCATCTGATAAGAAAATTGAATGTGAGTGACTCTTCTCAAAATTACAAAAAAATAAAATAAAAAAAATAAACCAGTTGTTCTTATTTAGTCCCATGTTATTTTTTATTCATGCTTTGTACATATCTCCTTTCATATTTTTCCGGGTTAAATATGCATATAACTTTTTAATTCTCTAAATCTTATTTCGCTTACAAAATTTTCCAATCGACAATGTTCTCTGTTCGTTTGCTCATCGCTAACCCAACTGTTTAAATCGCCAAACTCTGCTATATAAGTTTGTTACGCAAAAGGAGTATTTGAATCCAGCTGCGACACTATACTTAGTAGACAAGTATATATATATATATATATATATATATATATATATATATATATATATATATATATATATATATAAAAGAAAGAAGAGTAAGATATATAATCCGGTGTTCTTATAGATATTTTTATTTTTTACAAAATAGTGCTCAATGTAAATTAACAGAGCATTAATATTATAAATTAATTGATTTAAAATATGTTTTTTTCGCTACACAGTTCTAACCATGTTTCAAAACTGGAAGCTAAAAGCCCCGAATTTAATTTTGTAATTAAATTAAAGACATTAGTTCCATTTCATCCAAAATTCGCTTGAGGATGATATGGAACTAATGTCTTTAATTTAATTACAAAATTAAATTCGCGGCTTTTAGCTTCCAGTTTTGAAACAAACTTAGAATTGTGTAGCGAAAAAACATATTTTAAATCTATATATATATATATATATATATATATATATATATATATATATATATATATATATATATATATATATATATATATATATAGAGAGAGAGAGAGAGAGAGAGAGAGAGAGAGAGAGAGAGATAGAGAGAGTTAAAATTTATAGTAATTGTTTGGAAGTAAATAAATATTATGTTGTATTTTTGACTTCAAATATTTTCTTCGAAATATTTGAACATTTTCAATTTATATATATAACATAGAGATTTAAGCAACAGTTTATATAGCTCTATTTCGTCTTTCAGTTAAATCTTTGTATATCCCATCGACCTGGCGTGGCTTCCTTCTGTCTTTTCTGCAAATGGTAACTACACTATTCTTTCTCCTTTTCCATGGTGCCCCGACCAGAATTTAAGTGTGCTACTAGATTGGAATCTATTTTTCACCCTTTTACTGTTGAAATAGTTAAATGCATCCAATAATACTACCCGAAAAGTTCCTTTTCTCGCACTCCCAGGATGTGGAACTCCCTTCCATTTGCTTGTTTTCCTGATAACTACAATCTTCAAATATTTAAGTCACCATCTTCAGCCGCCATCGTCTATCTTCTTTAATCCCGTTCTTTTTTATCCTTTTTCTCAATCTTCCCTATACTTTTCTCTAATTTCCATCCCTCGTAACTCCCTGCGTACTAGTTGCATTTCACCCTTGCTTGGACTGTAATGATTAAAAAAAATATTCTTCTCGTTTTCTATTTTACTCGTTGCAATATATATTCAATGTTGGAATTTAATTCCTTGCTGTTGTCTCTCACAGAAATGTCCATCTCTCCCAGGAAATTTCTACACAAAATCTGGCAACTCCGGAAGTCAGCACTCCGAAGAAATGGAAAAAAGAAGAAAACACAAAACAGGCCCCAAGGCGTAGGCTTACTTTCTCGTCTGCTTCTAGGTATTTTCGTTTTAAACAGACTTATGCGCAAAACTCCCAAACAACGTAGAGTAAACATTGATTTAATTTAACGCAATTGTAAACACATTCAGGGTAAATTTATGTCCGACTTTTGGGAAATTTACAAAATCAATCCTCTCCGTTAAATATGTTTGTCTAGTCAGTTTTGAAAATAGCTACCATATAAAATTCATCTCTTCAGCATCTGACTCATTTTGTTTGGCTGAAAATTGATGTTTTTATTTGAATATACCCAAATAATATTTTCTTCAGTGTGACATCGTTCCAGGATAAAAGCGATGAATCTCTCCACAGCTTCCATTTTTTTCTGATTATGCGTTAATTACCATGACTTCTTGTGAAAGATATTAGGTTATTCTCCCGTTGGGTTCTCGATGATTTTCAATCTATTCTTGTAGATCGGCTTCTCCTCAAGGCTAGAGATCTCAGTGTAGTCTGTTATTTTCCCACAGCTATCTGGAGAAGAGATTGTTGCATCTATTTCCCAAGAAAATAGCTGCAAAGCGAACACAAAAGACAGTTGTAATTTGAACTTCATTCATCTATTAGACATTACGCCCGGATAAGCCCTTACGGAACCTTTACGTTGAAGCATATAAATTATAACAATAAACAATCAAATGAAATATTTTATATATTTACCATATACACACAGAATTATATACATTTAATTTTTTTAAAAAGTTGTAATTTTTAATTACGAAGTTATTGAGAATATATAGAGAATATATTCTGTTAACTGGTGGAACGAAATAAAAAGAAATATTCCTTAGCTTAGAAAATTCAAAGTCTGTTTGGCTGCATTCAAAATCGTGTAAAAGTATAACTTAAAAACATTTTCTTCATTTGTTCACAGATACGAAAATGGTAATTAAATGAGATGGATTGATAGAGTAAACGTTTAATTGTTTATGAATAATGAAAACTTTTGCTGAGTACACTATACACTCTCTAATCAATATCGGCCAAAATATTTTGGTATCCCACGAGTGTTGGCTAGGAAAGGTGATTCTTGAAGTTGTTTAATTAAGCAAGCCGGAAAAATAAGTTTGAATTCCTTAGAATTAAAATTGTTTGACCAGCTAATTGTTCATCCAAGCCAGGACAGCTAGGATTGAAAACTATTTGAAAATATTCACTTCCTTCTTTTTCAAAGACGGAGGGCAGTAGACCGTTCTCGCTGTTGAAGCACATGGATCATCCAAAATGATTCCTTCAACTCTTTTCCTTCGTCTGGGATATTTCAACGAAATTTTCATTTTACTATCTTCACGCTTTTCTGCATCCAACCAAAGCGATCAGTCTAGAAACGGCATCTAATTCCCAACCATGTGTTGATGTAAGGCGTAACGCTACAGAAACAACAACGACTGATCTCTTTGGAAATATGCCTTCATTCCAAATTCGACGCAGTTAATATGAAGATAACATTCGAAGGTCGTTTCCGTAAAATTGGATAACGTCCATAAGTTCAGAATTATTTCAGATTTTAATTAAAGGTGATACAGGATTTGTGTGTTTTCATATCTTTCGCTGTTTGTCAGTTAATTTAATTAAATTATCATTAAATTCAAGACAGATTATTATATCATAATGCGGGTATAAAGTAAAATGAAACGTCATAATCCAACTGAAACTTTGAGCAGTAATGTCATCGTTACAGTATCGAAGACTGAGTTGATTTAGCTTGTGGCGCGTACATATTGGTTAGAAGCTATTGATGCCCATGCATCGATTTCAATAAAGAATCATTGATCCCTTTCAGCAATCATTAGAAGCCGTCTTCCACTGCTCATTCAAACAGAGCTCTGATTTTTCGCAAGACAAAGCGGACAAGTTGTACACATGCGTTATCTTTAAAAGAGATTGATGTTAGGCCCACTTTGGGTGGCCAGCACTAAAGAAACCTAAAGCAAGATGTCTGACAGACGGATGCTGTGCTAAATCGGGGAACAGCCAGCTCATTTCCGAGGTATCTGTCTTGTCAATTTCCTGAACGCTTGCAGTATGTCTTCTATATTTGAAAAGGAAACAAGTGAAAGAAAAATAGCATTTCTAAACATGTGAAAAATCGTTATATATATATGTTTTCTGCTATATATCGACTTCAATTATGCATTTTCGCGGTTTTATTTCCATGTCACTTTCTCTCCCAACTTATATATATATATATATATATATATATATATATATATATATATATATGTGTGTGTGTGTGTGTGTGTGTGTGTGTGTGTGTGTGTGTGTGTGTGTGTGTGTGTGTGTGTGTGTGTGTGTGTGGTCTCAAGAAAATATATTTAAAAAAGAAATTTGCTGCAGAGTACTCGGCATATATATTTAAAAAAAACACTTCTGGAAATATTTGGACATGTCTTATATATATATATATATATATATATATATATATATATATATATATATATATATATATAATTGATGTAGATCTGTTCACTAATACACTTATTTTCTTATTCAAGATAATTTCCTTTCTTTCTTCTTCATTCTTTCTTTCTTCTCTTTAAAATTAGTTTGTTTCTTCTTTTTAATATTATATTTCTTGTTTTTCTTCTTTGTTAATCCTATATTGTTTCATTCATCTTTGTTTTTTTTTTTCAATTTTTGTTTGATTCTTCCTTTCATTTTCTTAATGTTTGGTCACTGTTACTTTCTCATACATGGTTAGTTTATATTTTCTTACTTCTGTAATTATTACTCTTTCTTTCTCTCTTTCTTTCTTTCTTTCTTTCTTATTCTCGTTAAAATTGGGCCATTCTTTTTTTAATATTTAGCTATTTTCTTTTTATTTTTTGTTAATTACATACGATTTCTTTCTTTTGTTATATCTTTCCTTCTGTCTTTCTATATTTTTATCATTTGGGGAAATGTTTCTTTGTAATATTTGCTTCATTTATAGATTCTTTTTTCTTAATTTCTCTAATATTTCCATTATATTTCTTTATTTCTTTTTTCCCTAAGATTGTGTTATGTTTTCTCTCTTTGATTCGTCGTTATTCATTCTTTTTGTTACTTCTTTTTCTTTCTTTTCTCATTCTTTCCTTTTAACACTGTTAGTTTTCTTGATTTTTCTTTCATTTTCTTCTTTCTTTTCCTATATATCCTTCATTTTTTTTTACTTTTTCGTTCTTTCTTTGTTTCTTTTTTCTTTGTTTCTTTTTTCTTTGTTTCTTTTTTTTATTTAGTTGATGATTCCTATTCTTTTCTTTTGAATATCACATTCTATTAATTTCTTTGCATTTCTTTATTCCGACGTTCTTGTTAGCTTTTTTATCATGCCCTTTTTAATCATTACCTTCAGCCATTTACAGTCATCTTATAATTTCTATCGTACTTTTAAAATAATTTCTCTCGCCGTCTTTTTCATCGGTTTACGTTTTACTTTTTTCTAGTCTTATTTATTTAACAATTTTTCTTTCAGGCATTTGGTCCATCCTCATAGATTTTTCATAAATCTTTTTTCTTGCTTTACATATTTTATTTCTTTCTTTCATTCATTCTTTCTTTCTTTCTTTTCTTTAAGCGTATATTGTTTTCTTGTTTTACTTTTTTCATTCTTCTCTTTTCATGTTTCTGCCTTTGTGTTCTTTAAATTCCTTCCTTTCCATCTATTATTTTCTTTCTTTCTTTCATTGTTTCTTTCTTTTTTCCTTTCTTTCTTTCATTGATTCTTTCTTTCTATATTTATTTTAACTATTTTCTATTTCCGCGTTTATCTATAGTTTATACTTCACTTTAAATTTTCACTTTCACCTTTTCATTTTACTTGGATTTTTTCCCTTAAATCCATACATTTCACTTCGCTATTTTGACTGCTTCTATATTTATTTTAAGAGTTTTATTTTTTCTTCTCATTCGTTCTCTAGTTTTTAATTCAAATCGTTTCATTTTTCTCGCCTATTTTGTGTTGAAAATTCATTCCCTTCCTTCAGTTGTTTCCATACGTTCATTCTTTCTTTTTCTTTCTTTCTTTCTTTATTTATTTTATTTAGTAGATGATTCCTATTGTTTTCTTTTGAATATCACATTCTATTAATTTCTTTGCATTTCTTCATTCCGACGTTCTTGTTAGCTTTTCTATCATGCCCTTTTTTAATCATTACCTTCAGCCATTTACAATCATCTTATAATTTCTGTCGTACTTTTAAAATAATTCCTCTCGCCGTCTTTTTCATCTGTTTACGTTTTACTTTTTTCTAGTCTTATTTATTTAACAATTTTTCTTTCAGGCATTTGGTCCATCCTCATAGATTTTTCATAAATCTTTTTTCTTGCTTTATATATTTTCTTTCTTTCTTTCATTCATTCTTTCTTTCTTTCTTTCTTTCTTTCTTTTCTTTAAGCGTATATTGTTTTCTTGTTTTACTTTTTTTCATTCTTCTCTTTTCATGTTTCTGCCTTTGTGTTCTTTAAATTCCTTCCTTTCCATCTAATATTTTCTTTCTTTCTTTCATTGTTTCTTTCTTTTTTCCTTTCTTTCTTTCATTGATTCTTTCTTTCTATATTTATTTTAATTATTTTCTATTTCCGCGTTCATCTATAGTTTATACTTCACTTTAAATTTTCACTTTCACCTTTTCATTTTACTTGGATTTTTTCCCTTAAATCCATACATTTCCCTTCGCTATTTTGACTGCTAATATATTTATTTTTTCTTCTCATTCGTTCTCCAGTTTTTAATTCAACTCGTTTCATTTTTCTCGCCTATTTTGTGTTGAAAATTCATTCCCTTCCTTCAGTTGTTTCCATACGTTCTTTCTTTCTTTCTTTCTTTTTTCTTTCTTTCTTTTTCTTTCTTTCTTTCTTTCTTTATTTTATTTAGTAGATGATTCCTATTGTTTTCTTTTGAATATCACATTCTATTAATTTCTTTGCATTTCTTCATTCCGACGTTCTTGTTAGCTTTTCTATCATGCCCTTTTTAATCATTACCTTCAGCCATTTACAATCATCTTATAATTTCTGTCGTACTTTTAAAATAATTCCTCTCGCCGTCTTTTTCATCTGTTTCCGTTTTACTTTTTTCTAGTCTTATTTATTTAACAATTTTTCTTTCAGGCATTTGGTCCATCCTCATAGATTTTTCTAATCTTTTTTTTGCTTTTAAAATATTTTTTTTCTTTCTTTTCTTTTTTCTTTTCTTTCTTTCTTTTGTTCTTTCTTTCTTTAAAGCGTATACCGTCTTCTTTGTTTTACATTTTTTCATTCTTCTCTTTTCATGTTTCTGTCTTTGTCTTCTTTAAATTTCTTCCTTTCCATCTATTATTTTCTTTCTTTCTTTCATTGTTTCTTTCTTTCATTGTTTCTTTCTTTTTTCTTCCTTCCTTCCTTTCTTTCTTTCTTTCTTTCTTTTTTCTTTCTTTCTTTATTTATTTTAACTGTTTTCTATTTTTTGCGTTAATCTACAGTTTATTCTTCGCTTTAAATTTTCAGTTTGGTCTTTTCAATTTTCTTGGCTTTTTTCCTTAAATCCATCTATTTTCCTTCGCTATTTTGACTGCTTATATATTTATTAAGAATTTTATTTTTTCTTCTCATTCACACTCCTATTTTGTGTTTGAAATTCATTCACTTCCATCAGTTGTTTCCATTCATACATTCGTTCTTTCTTTCTTTCTTTCTTTCTTTCTTTCAATTCTTTCCTCCTTCCTATTCACTGATTCTTAAATTATATATTCCTGACATTATTTGTCTGACTGTATTTGCATTTTCTTACTTCATATTTCTTTCATTTTCTTTTTATTTCCGTTACTCTCAATTATTTCTGCTTTTTCTTCGTTTCCTTTTTACATTTCTCTCACGCATTTCTTGACTCACGTTTGTTAACTTTAGATTTCAGATATCACCTTTGCAATGTTGGAATACATTCACCCTTCAATCCATCTGATTTTGCACACAACTTATTCATCTTTCGCCGTCAATACAATTTCAAAGACTGCTGGGAATGGTGATAAAGAAAACGAAGAAAGAAACTGTGAAAGTTTCTAAAATCACAGGAATATATTTGGAGTCCACGCAGATATATGTGAGTGTCATTGCAGGTGAACGCGTGCAAACACGATGTAGGCGTGTAAAATAATTTGAAAATTAATAACAATAAATAACGTTCAGATTTTATGAACTTTTGAAGTATATGTATATATATATATATATATATATATATATATATATATATATATATATATATATAGATAGATATATAGATAGAGATAGATAGATAGATAGATAGATATAATTAAAATATATATATATATATATATATATATATATATATATATATATATATATATATATATATATATATATATATATATATACATGGACTCTCCTGTCGGTTTCGACGTATGAGGATCTGACAGCGTAATTGATTCAGTTATGAAATTTTATGCGATAATCTTAAGTGACATTTAAGACCCGCTAGTGATTTTCAAAGAGAGACACATATGGAGCAAGAGAGTGAGGATTGTGAGATGAGATCACTGTTAGTTTGGCCGACCTTTATTTCTCGCTCTTGCTTCTTGAAAATGATTCTGACAAGCAGATTGAAAACTGCTGAGTCCACTAAAACATGATGATCTCCATTCGACCAGCTCCAAGGTTAAGCGCTCAAGGGTGTTATGTGGTATATTGACAGCTGACAAGTTGCTTTTCAGCTTGTCTTTGTATCTTAGCCATGGGCGTCCTACATTCCTGTAGATCTGATCTAACTTGCTGTACATTAGGATCTTGGGTATCCGGTTATCATACATGACCATTCCACCGTAAATGAGACCGTATGATAAAAGTCTCGATTCCTCTGATATTACACTTGTTAAATAGGTCTACGTTAGATGCCTTATCTTGAAGGTTAACTCCACAGATTGCACGCAGACAGCGTTTATGGAATCCATACTTCAGGGAATTGTCTTCTACTTTCAATGGTCTTTCTGTAAATTTGTAGACTGGTGGTTTTTCTTTCTCATCACAGAATTGCTTCGGAGTAGAATAACATTGGTGTACTACTTCAGATTTCTTTATGCTAAGTGTAAGACCAAAAGCATTACATGCAGCAGAGAAACTCTCTGAGTCTGTAAATGTATATTTCAGCATCACTGAGAAGAAAAGGGCAAAAAGGACAGGGGTCATGGCACAACCTTGCTTGGTGCCATTTGTGACATCAAAGGATTCTGATATCAATTCCATCAGAGACGATATTAGCATCCATTCCTTCATGAAAAGAGATGATGACCTTTAGCATATTTTCAGGGATGCCGAGTTTCCTCAAGATATACCAAAGAGCCTCTCGATACACAGTGTCAAAGGCCTTCGTCCAGTTCAAAAACACCATGTACAAATCCTGTTTTTTCTCGCGAACCTTCTCTGCAACTTGACGAAGAGAAAATATCATGTCAATGGTGCCACGACCGACCGAAAACGACACTATGATTCAGGAGAGGTGTCGTCAACAAGGTGTATAATGATTCTGTTTAGAATCAGTCTAGCTTGGATTTTGCCTGCAATTGAAAGTAGTGATATCCCCCGATGATTATCACAGACACACCAGGAACCCTTGTTTTTGTAGAGGTGTTAGATAGAGGCGTCTTTATAATCCTGTGAGTCACACTCTGCCTTCCATGTCTCCACGAAAAGGAGATGTAACTTTTTTACCAACTTTATGCCACCATGCTTATACACTTCGGGTGGAATAGGATCCTTAGGAGAAGGTGAATTTTCCAGATGAGATTTGCTTGATGGAGTCAATAACCTCATGTTAGGTAGGTTGAAAATACAACTCCGGAATGTCAGGATTTTGCCCAAAATGTGTGAGCAAACAATGTTTAGGGTTCTTTTTATCGCCCCCTCCTCATAATAGGGAAAGCAGTGCAATCCTAAATAGGGCTGCTTTGTCACCGATGGAAGATACGGACATCACAATTGCTCATGGGTTGGTGAAAGAACGGTTATCACCCATCGGTCTGCCTCTGTGTAGAGCCTTCCAGGAATATCCTTTACCTGACCCCGTCGTCTCCACTCTTTCGCCAGCGGACATTGTAAGTGAACTGTATGGATAAGAACGAATCAAGGTAAACCGCCAGAAAACCCAGACAAGTGATCTGACTTAAGTGGTGAAGGCTTGTGCAGAACCATCCACACTTTTCGAAAGTATCGATATAATCAGGCGGTACAAATAAATGCCACAGACGAAGCAGACAATATACCTCATGCTTTTCGTGTAAGAGTTTTCCATCTCCTAGACCAATGAGGTTCTATAACACTAAATAGCTTGTTCAGCCCTGGTAGACATTATTTGCCCATAGATGGGACCCTATCAAGTTCTAACACCCCGGCTCAGGGCGGATCTGAGAACAATAGCAATTAAAACCTGGTTCCACGCCCACCAAAACCTCCAATATCCCGATGAGAAGACTTGCTGCCGGATGTAGTTTATCGTCATACCCAGGATATTATATATATATTTCATTTCGAACTGTTTAATCCGACATTAAAAAAAAATAACGAAAAAAAAACAAACTTTTTTCAGGTGTTGGCAGGGCATTGGGTTGAAGTAGTACCTTTGTTGCTCATCTACTGTACCTTATTTTTAAAGGTAACGGGCAACACTGGTGTTCCCCCATCCTCTAATTCTCTTACGTATATTCTATCTCATATATATATATATATATATATATATATATATATATATATATATATATATATATAAAAAAAAATAGACATTTTTTTTTTATACGTTTTTTATATAATTGAAAAATATTATATATTATATATATTATATATATATATATAAATATATTAAAATTTTTTAAATAATTGTCGGACTTTGTCAGTTTCATAGTGTATGTATATATATATATATATATATATATATATATATATATATATATGTATATATAAATATATATATATGTGTGCATATGTGTGTGTGTGTGTGTGTGTGTGTGTGTTTGTGTGCGTGTTTGTTGTTAGGGAACACGGTGGACTAATCACGATTTCAGATTGATGAATCAGAGAGTCGAGTTAGAATTACAATTGATATCATTAATATTTACTCGTGCTAATACTCTTAGGAAAAGTATTATTTCATTTGAAGACATCTATGGTTAAAACAGTCCTATTGATTTGAGTGGCAAGCCCTTTAGAAGAAAGAAACTCTGATTTCAAAACGGATCACACTATTCGCGGTATGGGTTTACATACGTCCTGAGGCCGCTTGTGAATCAAAAAATCCCCACTGAAATTCATATTATTTGTACGTCCAAATGAATACGGCCACTGATATTTTTGGCCAATATTTTTTTCAGATGCGTTTCATATGGAACGGGAGGTATTAACTATATATATGTTATTTTCTATCTATCTATCTATCTATCTACAACTTAGAGTGGATTGATAATTCCAAAACATAGTGAAGTAATTTCGTTTATTTATTTAACTAATTATTAATCTTTTCAAGTGCGATATATTTTATGTATAATATCTATGCTTGTGTATCATGCATTTCAGGCGCTGTTTTTTGCGCAAGAAAATGTTAGAGACTTGCTTTATCTTTCGGTGGCCACCACAAAAGAAGCCTAAAGCAAGATGTCTGACAGATGGATGCTGTGCTAAATCGGGGAACAGCCAGCTCATTTCTTAGGTATACTATTTATATATGTGTTTTATACAACGTACTGCTGCTTTTAAACAACTCGTTTGCTAAGTGGGTCCTGTTCCGTTCACTCAACCACGTTTAGCGGATTACTTGATTTTCCCATTAAGCGTAACGCTATTCCTGAGAAAAACGCACGAAGAATATTTCTCATTATGTAGCCAAGGTAAAGGATGTGATCGATAAATCTTATAAATTACGCAAAAATTAAAATAACATGCATTTTAACATATATATTTACCAAAATTACACAAAAAATATCTTGAAATACTAATGAGTAAATTTATTAATTAAAACTGGCATTGGCTTCAACCACGGCTTCCAGACGACTTCAGAATCCTGTCTCTCTCCTTGTTTAAGTTGGTGAATGCCGCCATAATCCTTGCCTTAAGTTATTCTTTTGGGGTTACAAGGAGTTTGGTTGGCCTCTGTCTCAAATTCGCCCCACAGATAATAATCAAAATAATCAAAGGATTGCATTCTGGGTATATGTGGCCAAATATAAGGGGTGATATGGTCGCCATGACTTGGCTCTCCTGCTTGTCTCGCATGGTGCAGTGTATTTTACGCGACATAGCATCTTCCCGCATCTACTCTCTTGACTCAAGGCAGCATTACCTTTTACAGGCACTTAATATAGTTTCCTGTGTTGATTCTGAGACCCTGTGGGAAGATTAATGAAGGCATAACGTCGCCATCACTAGCGATCACTCCAAACACCTTCGTAATCAATATAAGGCTCATTCAACTCCTTCAGAATCCTATGAACACATACACTTTGAAATGTTCGAATTGGTGCTTCCGGCGCGAATGCCAACTAATACCTGACCCCTTTTCCAAATTTCTGGTGGAGTGAATTGCGTCATATGACTCTTTTTCTCACAGACGGTCCCCAACTGATTATACAATACATGCAGTTGAAAAAAAATATTAAAAAATCATTGTACATGCGTTAAATTCAAAATATAAAATGGCGACAGTTTTCCTATCACACCCTGTATATACAGTTGCGGCTTCCACATTCTTACCAGCCTTTATTTGACAGATTCTATAATCCCTAGAACTTCCTTGTTTCTCATAGTCTCTTTCCATTGGTATTCCCAGCTTCGGTGTGTAAGAGAACATCTCTATCATTTTGAATTTTTTCGTTTGTTACAGAGGGCATG